CTCCCCAGGGTAAACCTTGTCTCTAACCAAATGTCAAATAGGACATGCTCCAGCCTCTCCCATGACCCTGAATTAGATAATAGGTTAAGAAACTGACTGAATGGATGGCTGACTGGATAAAAGAACGGCTGGGTCGTATATTTCCCAGAACACAACCAATAAAATCTTTCTGTTAGTCTCTCTCACCTTGTTACCGTTATTTTTAAGACTTGATAAAAAGCCCTTTTTTTAATCACAGAAGACATTTATTTAACTGTTCTCACAAATTGGATAGTATATTGACTGACTAATAAGCTGAACTTTAGGTGTAAAACTCAGGAGTTTCCCTTTAGTTGCGTGCTGCTGATTGAGCTAATTTCTCTTGAGTCAGAAGCTGAGCTCAAAGATTTGTCTTCTATTAGTTGTTCTCTCTCTCCCCCTCTCTCTCTCTCCCTCTCTCTCTCTCTCTCTCATGTTTGCATGTAGAAAAAGCAAAAATCAAAGGGCACCAGGTGAGATGAAGGGGAAGGAAAAAAGAGAGAAAAGAACAGTTCTAGTAAAGGGGCCAAGAATGACTGGACAGAGAGATTGCTGAAGAGATGTCTGCCTGTTTAAGTGAGCCATGTATCTGAGTCATCCTTTAGTAAAAGATTGAGCCATGGCTAGTAGGTTAGTACATTTCCGATATTAATTCCTATTCCCATGGATGTGGATGGATGAGGGAAACGCAGAGGGAAAAGGAGACGAGATGGATGGTAAAATAAACAAAGAGACAGAAAACAGTCGAGAAGAGCACAGGAGAAAAATGTGACAAAAGTGATAAAGAGAATGGGAGCTTAAGATGAAGGCTGAGCAACATAAACACATCGAGGAAACAAGAGAGAGGTAGAAGGGGAGCAATAGAGAAATCAGCAGGGAGAGCCGGAGTGAGAGAAGTGAGGAAGGAGGCCGATGAGAGAGCAGAAGTGAAACGAAGAGCGGGAGAGCAGTCAGTACGTGCTCCAATTCATTTGGAGTTTCATTAGAGGAAGCGAGACAGAAAGAGGGAGACAGGGAGCAGAACAAAAGCAATCAAGGGATTTTCAGGAGAAGAGATGTGTGGCCAAAATCAATAAGTACTCCATCTCTCCCTCACTCTGCCCAGCACTCAGCACCCAGCAGACACACTATCAATGCCCAGGCAGAGCAACGCAGAGGCACGCACACACACTCACACACAGCGTGGGCTTCACCATCTTCTTCCATGTGAAGGCAGAAAAATATGGACCAAGATCCAAACAGGAAAAGTACCAGAGATTAACCTGAGAGATGTTTTGTGAATCTCATTTCTATAAAGATACTGTACTGATGTTCCCAGCAGTTACCATGATCAGTACACGTCGGTTTTCCTTTACAAGACATTGCTCTGGCATTTAAAAAATAAATCAATCAATCAAACTTATATTGTGCAAATAAAGTTGTGTTGAATATCAGTGAAACTGGCTTTACTGTGATGCAAAAGTATGCATAGAAAATATTTACCAGTGAATCAATGTTTTGGGTATTTTTTTTGGACATTAAATACATTTAAACTAGTAATTAGACTCAACAGTGTTACCTCTGATTGAATATAGCAATAAAGTACTGTTACTAGAGTGGATGAAGAAAGAAAGAAAGCAAAGTGAGGAAAAAGAGGAATTATATACAGTAAGATCCAAAGCCAGGGTACCTTAATTAACCCCTGATCCTCCAGGATATATTACTGCTCATTTTATCCGTCTCTCAATAATATCACATTATATAAACAAATATAGCCACAATTAGTCCCAGTTGACCTAAAAAAAAACATACATGTGAAGTATATAAGAGGATTTCTTACACTAAAGAATATCTGGAGTTGTGGGGTGTTATTCTAATGCCAAAATAGGCCTTATTAGAAGGAAAGGAATAAGGATGCAGGAAAAGAGATTAGATTTGAGGTTTGAGTTGGTAGGGAAAAAATGTGAAGCCCTGTCAAAGACCAGGAGTTCTGTTGGAGACTAAAAACCTGAAACTTTGTATGCCTTTGTATAAGAGGTGAAATCAAAATGTTTTGTGGTTCTTCAATTTAAAAAAAA